GTTTCGCTCTTCTACACTGTGGTCACACCTGCTCTCAATCCGCTCATCTACACTCTCAGGAATAAGGAAGTGAAGGGGGCAGCTAGAAGGCTCCTGGGCAGTCTGCAGACAGGCCAAGCTGGACAGTGAGTGGATCCAGAAGGAAGGAGATACTTGTGTTGGCCCAGGGCCCAAAGCTGGAAATGCCAGGGGAGAGTCCGACAGCTGAGTGTTCAGGCTGTTCACTTCTGTGTGAGACTGTAAGATTCAACATCGGGGAGGAAGGGTCAGGAAATGTTCAAATTCTTGAGGGAAAATTCCCAATCCTCTACATATACAGGTTTACCGAGGGGGAACTTCTCCTAAACTGAACAGAAGCATAATTTGGAGGAAACCCTCCTCAACCTGAGGATAAAATCCCCTCAACACCCAAAGGAGAGAAAAATGATGCTTTCCTTTAGCTTTCTCCCAACCTCATGGCAGTTTCCATGTCAACAAGGAAACCATAGACCATGCTACAAAGAGGCCCCTTCCAGTAAAGGGAGTCAGGGTCTGAATCCAGGGCATTTAGTCCAACCTAGTGCAAACCTGTAGAAAGTCAGATGACCAGTGCCCACCCCAGAGCTTTGACCCGTAAATGTGGGGAATTGGGCTGACTGGGGAAACGTTCTGCAGTAAGTGGTTCTTTTTTATTCATTTATTTTAGAGGTTTTTGCTATAGGGCGTGTGCACTCACCAGAAAGAGAGAGCCAGAGAGATAGAAAGTGACTCATCACCCCCAAGAGGGGGTTGCCATGCTGCAATCCCTTCTCCTCCATTCTCCTCTTGGGATCTTTGGCATGCATCCACATGCTCCCAGCATGAGTTTAAGCCACTGGGTCCAGGATTTGAACCACAGTGGACTCCATGGGAGACCAGTGACATAGCCATTATGCCAACTGCTGGTCCCCGTAAATGGTTCTTGAACAAGTTTTAAAGAGATGTAATTAGCTCTTGTGAGAAGGAAGATAGGTTCATCTTAGGTTGTGAGAAAAACATACAAGTGACCAGTCCCAAGATATGAGAGGACAGTGACACAAAGGAAAACTGGATCCAGCAGGTGGTGTGGTGGTTAAGGCAGGTGAATCTCACATGGCTAATTGCACAGTTCAAGTACCAGACCCAGTGACTTGAAAAACACACCAAACAAGTGTGTGTGTGTGTGTGTGTGTGTGTGTGTGTGTGTGTGTACAAAATCCCAAGTGGAGAGAGAAATGGAAAGACATTACAGCATAATCATCCCACATGGGAGTGATGGGTGGAGGGATGCTTTCTCACTTCTCTCTCTTTCTCTCTCTAGCAGGTACACATTCTCCTCAGGCAACTAAGGAGACAGCAAAAGAGAGAGAGAGAGAGAGAGAGGGAGAGAGAATGGAAAGATGAAGATGGAAGAAAATGCTCCAGTTCCTAAAAGAGAAGCAAGGATCTGGTGATGGGAGAATACAGAGAACAATGCTATCAGCTATAACATAGACACTGTGTTGGAGTCAGCCTAGAAGCCAACCTCCCTGTCCCACACAGCTCACACTCAGACTGATACCAGTCCAAACCTAAAGAAGACCTGCAAGACCCTCAGGAAGGCAGGACAGAGATTGGTTCACAATCCCCAACCTTTAAGAAAGTCCATCCCCACCTAGAGACACAAAATCTCTAAATCCCCATGGACAGTAACTTCCAATGCCCAGCACCTTTCCCAGAAATAAGGACAATTTTAATTGGGTTTGGGACAAAGAGAATAAAAGGGGGCATAGGGCCAGTTTTCATTTATTACCAAATAGCACTAAATAGGAAGATAAAATAAATAACTTTAATTGAATTTCCAAATGATTTATTAGATTGTGATTATACCAAAGCAATTATTTCACTTCATAATAAATCATTTCTCTCTTCTTATGAGTAGAAATTGAGTTTGATTACACAGCTATTGAGTAATTCTATAGATGAAACACTAGGCTTACTGTAGAAACACAGAAATTAGTAGAACATGAATCCCAACCTGACATTTACTATCTTGTCATATAGGAAAGAAAACAGGAGTTTTTCTTTTTTCTGCTTTTTATTATTATTTATTTTTATTTATTTTACACACTTTCACTGGACATCACCACAGCATACAAATTTGATTTTTCCATCAGAATACACTGTAAAGTGACGTAAACATATATGTTATCATCAACAAATAATTTTCCATTTCTTGTTTCTTGTATATATATGTTTCTTGTAATATATATTTATACATATTTGTGTGTATATGTGTATATATATATATTTCTGTAGTTCCTTTCATTCCTTTATTCTTTGCCACATTGTATTTATTCACAAAATATCTTAATTGATCTAAATACTTTCAATAGTAAGTTCAGCTGACATATACATTTCTGTGAACAAAAGTTGACTTTAGGCATGAAGCTCTGTGGATAGAATGAATATACTATAAAATAGCACATAGCTGAGGCTATATAGCTTACTATGGTTACCAAATAGGTATTTTTTAAAATACACTTTTTAATTTTAAGAAAGGCAATTTTACCTTTAATAAATCAAGAATTTAAAATGTTAAGAGAACTTTGCTTAATACTTAAAGCCAGGAAACAAGTTAGGATTCTGTTTGACTAGTAGGTACATGGACCTTGAGAAAAGACAAAACTCCTTAATACTAGAAGACAAAGCATAGAAGGTCAGTAATGTTTTAGTCGAAAATCATAAAATTCTGTTTCACTAGTTCAAGCTCATGTACTTTATCTTCTGCTGTGGTCCAATCTCTCCATTTAAATTCAAAAGATAACATTCAACACTGTGCTTGTCACTACCATTAAGCTGGCCATTTACTTAGCTGTTTTTAGAACTCTTATTTCTGTGTGCCTGGCTTTAATTTTCCTGAGATAGCACTCCCTTCAGAACTTCTTGGAGAACTGGTCTGGTGTTGGTAAATTCTTTCAGGTTTTGTTTATCTGAGAATGTTCTTGTCTTTTCTTCTCATATGAAGGATAATCTTGCCGGGTACAGTATTCTTGGATGAAATTGTTTTTCACTCAACACTTTGAATATATTTTCCCATTCTTTGCTTGATCGTATCATTTCCAATGAGAGGTCTGCTGTTAGCCTGATGGGATATCCTCTGTAGGAAACATGACGTTTCTCTCTTGCCAGTCTGAGTATCTTGTCTTTGTCTGTGGTTTTAGTCATTCTGACTATAATGTGTCCAGATGTTTGGACATTTAATGGTATCTAGTATTTCTCGTATATTATTATCATTTTGGGGAGACTATTTTCTCAGTTTTCGTGATGGATTTTACTAGTCCAGAGATTCTGTCTTTCTACATCTGAGATTCGATTTTCTGTATGATCTAGTCTGCTTTTAATACTTTCAAAAGAGATTTTGACTTCCCGAATTATAGCCTTCATCTCCAACAGTTCCGCCTGACTCTTTTTTATGGTGTGTATTTCCTCTTTCAGCTCTTACAAGAAATTCCTCACCTTTTTTTTTTTTTCATTTTAAACAAGAAGATTATTTAAACAACAAGATGCTTGACTTGAAGGGAAAACAATCTAGGATTCCTTTTTTTTTCTTTAGGAGTAATTTACCCCTACTTGACAGATTGTCCTACATGTAACAACTACATACAAAAAAGTTATAAAATTGTCCTTGGTTTTACAATGATAAATGAAAAACATTAAAATTCTCCAATCAAACAAGGTATGCAAGTATTTTTATGTTGTTGGGTTTTTTTTTCTTTTTGTTAAAACAGTGAGTGCAAAATAACTTACTGGAATATAAAGATAAGAGCTGAATGAGCATGCCACTAATGGAGAAAGGGGGCATTTTCACAGAACCAGTATTTTTCCCTATCCCATCTCCATTTGATGTCAATCAAAACATACCATTAAAAAATAAACAAATAAACATACTATTGATCATTTAGTTCAAAAAAATGCAATATGCTTGTGCACGTACACCAACTACTTTATGTACAATAAAGGAATGGGGAAGGGAAAATGAAAGAATGGAGAAAACTATACTACAGTAGTCAGGATGTGGTGAAACCAAATTGTGGTTTTCTAATTGAGAATGTATTCTTAGTCTGTAAGAACAGAGTTTGGAGGAAAGTATCAGGTTCCCTTTTTAGTAGACACCTCCTGTCTGCTGTTGGAACACATCAATTGTATCTTCATCCTCCATTTCTAACTGTGCAGGTGTGTCTGTTTCTTTGATCAGCTGTCCATCAAATCGGAATCTGATCTGCCTCATTGACAAACCCTGTCGTTCACAATAGGCTTTCATTAGTTTACTAAGTGGTGTGTGCCTCTTCATTTTAAACTGCACCACAGAACCATCCTGCCCCACCACCTTCAAATTAATATGATCATTGTTCTCAGTCTTGACTCCTTCCTTAGGTTTTTCATCAGCCATGGTGAGCGCCCGAGTCTCCTCAGCTGCTGCTTCACAAAAGAGGTTCACACCTTCATGGCTCCTGCAAACTAAACATTTTGGGGGAAACAGAAAAGTGAAGATTTCCCACTGGTAATTCAGCCTCCAGCACACAAAACTCTTGTGGAGAGGCAAAAAAGGGAACAGGCCTTCTTGAAGATACACCTTCATGGCTCCTGCAAACTAAACATTTTGGGGGAAACAGAAAAGTGAAGATTTCCCACTGGTAATTCAGCCTCCAGCACACAAAACTCACGTGATTGAACTTCCAAGTTTGGGAAGAAACTGACCATCCACCAGATGACTAGAAATCACTGCAGGACCACAAGAAATATGGGAAAGCAGGAAAATACCTCTCCTCCAAGGGAAAAGGATAACTCCTCTTCATCCACACACAGTTCAATGGAAATCATGGACATGTCTGATAAAGAATTCAGAACATTCATAATGGCAAAGCTAACAGAGATGGAAGAGAAGAGATACAATGAACTGCTGAAGAGGTTGGAGAAAGGAGTTGAGTTCCAGGAGGTGAGGAAATTCATGCAAGATTTAAAAGAGGAATTTCACACTTTACAAAAGAATCAGATGGAACTGTTAGAGATGAGGGCTATAATACAGGAAGTCAAAATCTCCCCTGAAAGCATTAAAAGCAGACTAGATCACACAGAAAATAGAATCTCAGATGTAGAAGAGAAAATGTTTTTATATATATATATATGAAAGTAGAAATGGAATATTATTGATGATAACATGCATGATTAAGCCACTCTGCAGTTTATTCTAGATGGGAATGAATGTAAATTAATTTTTAAAAAAAAAGTTTTAGGAGGAAAAAAAAACACTAAAACTGTTCTTATCGAAATTTTTTTTAAAAAAATGCATATGTGATGACTACAGTAAGCTATGTAGCCCCAGCTAAGTACTACTTTATAGTATGTTCATTCTACTCACTGAGGTTTATGCCTAAAGTCAGACTTGGGTTCATGTATATGTATATATCAGCTGTGCTTACTATTGTAAATATTTAGACTAATTAAGTTCATTAGCAAATCAATTAAATGGGGGGTAAAGGCATAGAAAGTAACCATGGATACCAGAGACAATGTGGGAGGAGGGTGGGACACAGAAGAGGGTGAGGGATGGCAAGGAAAAAAGGATGGCAAAAAAAAAAGCAAAATATACAAGACATAAGAAATGGAAAATTATTTGTTGATAACATTATGTTGATGCGCTCGATTGAGCCGATATACAGTGTATTCTGGATGGACAATTCACTTTGTACACTGTAATGATGTATAGTGAATTAATCTAAAAAAATAAATTTAAAGAAAAGGGGAAAAAAGGAAAAGAAAAGAAAAGAACAACCAAGAAAATTTAAAAAAAAAAAAAAAAAGAGCAAAAGAGGTACCAGGTCCTCACCAAACAAGCACACAGGCAACACCAGAAGCAGCAGAGGGAAATTCCTCATTCTTCTGATGTTCATTTTCTTTCTTCTCTTCCATCTCTGTTAGTTTAGTCATTATGAAAACTAAATTCTTTATCAGACATTTCTGTGATTTCCATTGTAATGTCTGTGGATGAAGAGGAGTTATTCTTTTCCCTTGGAGGTGAGGTATCTTCTTGGTTTCACATATTCTTATGACCCTGTGGTGATTTCTAGTCATCTGATGGGTTATCCATTTCTTCCTAATTTCTAGAAGATCAATCTGAGTGATCAGAGGCACACAGGAGGATGTGGTCTGCAAACTCTTTGTCATTGCATGTTTCTCCCTTTGTGATGCAGATTCAGTAGCAGTTGAGGAATATGAAGACACAAATAATATTCAGATTTTGGAAACTTTTCATTTAGACTTCTCTAGACACTCAGTAGGTGGAAGCTGAGCAGCAGAGTAATGAGGTAAAAGAAAAAAGTTAAGAAAACAGAAAGAGAGAAAGAAAAATGGATAAAGCAAACAAAATTTTATTTATTTATTTATTTATTATAAAAATCAAAAAATGAAAACTGTGGGGCACTGAAATCACTAGATCTCAGTTCTCATGGTGGGCTCAGTCTTTTTCTTTTTTTTTTTTTTTTTTACC